TTTGGTAAAAAATCAAAAAGTTGAAAATAGGCTTACATCATCATCATCCATGTCTTATCCGAATTATATGGGATCGACTACATGAATCTTAGTTCATTGATCCATTCAATCTAAAGCCATATCCAGTTAAATTATTAATGCTTAAATCATTTCTTACCCCATGTCCTTTTAGGTCTACCCCTATCTCTTCTATTCCCTTCCACTACTTGTAACAAGTCACTTCTTCTAACTAGAGCCATTAGGTGGTTTTCAATGCACTAACCAAACCATCTTAGTTTATTCTTTGTCATTTTGTCATGCACTTAGTGGAACTATTCCTAGGTTACAATAGATGACTTCATTTATAATTCTATCTAGTGATGCACAATCTGGACGCTCCCTCATGTCTTGCGATCTGGCTCGAACAGGGGTCCAACTTGAAAGTGGCAAGTTGTATGGCCGAGCTGGTATCTGTGTGACCGAGCTAAGTGTGAGCTATAAAAAGAAAGGAGGTGAAGGTGCGCGGGTAGTATGGAGTTGTTTCCCTATTTTCGGGCGCATTAAGGTGTCCGTTGAGAGATCTTTGCGGGAGTTACGATTCATTCGCGTACTGGTGTACTGTATGGTGAGCCGTTCTAACGGTCACGCTATTGGTGCTTTTGGTAGTGAGCTACTAGGGACAATTAGTGAGCTCTTCCTCGCAGGTCGCCTTAGGTCCTCTTAGCTCGTCCGACTCCTAGGATAGCTCACCGTAATCTTATGGGTCTGCCAACTCGGCCTTGCTGAGTTGTACTGGGAACTATAGGGGGTGGTTAGCGAGCTCTCCTTAGCAGGTCGCCTTAAGTCCCTACAGCTCAACCGGATCCTACGATAGCTTGCCATAATCCTACGGGGTCAGCTAGTTTGGTCTTGCCGAGGTAAAGGTCAGCCTGGGTGAGATGCTCCAAGCTAATTTTATTGAGTTAGCTCGCTAACTAGGCGTCGAGGTATAATTTGGATGCCATGTGTCTTCGGAGGTAGGTCGCCAGGTCTCTGGAGGTAGGTCTTCAGGTCTCCATCAGATCTCTAGGGGTAGGTCTTCAAGTTTCCATCATTTTGGCTAAGGCAGGTCATCATCTACATGGTGTCGGGTGTCATCCAACTGTTTTTGAGATGCCACATGTCATGATGTCAATGGAGGGCCCAATCTGCCCTCATCACTATCATTTCTAATTCTTCCATTCAACTATCTTAGCATTTGCATTTTGCCACATTCATTTTCTAAATATTTTGTTTGAAAATAGGCTTACATAAGTGAAAAAATTGACTTTTTAATGAAACTATATTAGGTAGTAGTTCAAATGATGCAGTTTAGTCATTGCAGAAGCCCTTTCAAACAGGCCCTAGATAACGAGTGGCATCTATAAGTTGCCGTTTTCAACATTTTACACTATAGGATGAAGATGGAAAAGAAGAAGACAAAATATACACTAAAAAAGAAAGAAAGAAAAGAAATTCTAGAAGAAGAAGAAGAATAAAGAAACAAATGGTAGGAGATCGAATCTGCTTTCAGCCTATCAAAAAGGAAAATTCTCCCTCATCTAGTAAGCACTTAGTAAATAAAGAGATCACATCTCCGCCCCACGATGCCCCACCCCGCCCTGTATTGGAAACATCTCATGAAGGCACACGGCGGGAATGTGCTGTGGGGCGGCCCCTTGTGGGGTGAAGATGTGAATTCATAAATAATTAGCAAAAGGTGCACATGCTAGCAAAGTTAGAGCAAATACTTTTGTCTTTAGTGATGAGTAAGGTTAAAAACATATATATTGAAGTCGAAACAATCCATGAATCTTCCATGTGTTAACATGATTGCAAAATATTCGTATATAAGGTGGGACACCGGAGTTGATCAATCTTATATACACAGTCCAATTTATTTTCTTAGGTGAAGGAATAATGGGGAAATCAAATTATTCTGATGGAAAACGTCATTGATGAGGTTTTATACCGAACCGTAAAAAAGTTATTATTGAACTTTGAAAAGCATAATGTAAAACTCTACTTCATCTAAACACCAACAAATCTAAACTGAAGTAGAGGTTTACATCGATCTTGATTTGTACTCCTCCTAACATTGACAAAACTGAATTGATGTAAACTTTTACATCGATGACGTTTTACATTACTTCCAAATGCAGCCTTATGAAATGAGTTATTCCATTTTGGATTTCTATTTCATATTTTGAATCTTGATTGAATTGCGAATGATGCATGCAGAACAACATGGTAAGCTAGAAATGTTGCTGAACCAAAAAATGTAATTAACCGAATTAATTGGTATATATATATTTTTATGTTTATTTTTAATATATCGTATATTATTTATATATGCATATGTATATATATTATTTATAATTTATTATTTGTAATATAAAATATTAGATACACATATACACACACTATATATAATCGAAAACCAGAGAACCAAACTGATCAAAAGCCGAAAAACCAGTTGATCGGTGGTACCAATTCAGTTTTGATTCAAAAAATTGCAAAAACCAATGACAGTAATTCGGTTTTAAAAACATATTCACGGTTCAATTACCAAACCGTGAGCACCCCTAAATCGGTGGATTAGGCCACCACACTTTGAAACCTATCAAACCCCACTTTGCTTTCATAGTTCTAATTCAGGTGATCACTTGGAACCTCAGTCCATCTCTTATATGAACCATGGTTTTTAAAAACGAACCAGTGACCAAATCGGTCAGGGGTCCGGTTACCGTTTTGAATGGTCAATACTGTCAATTAAAAAATTAAAAATTAAAAAGAAAATCTGACAAAAAAATAAAAATTTTAAAAAACTAAAAAAAATTAAAAAACAGTCAAAACCGTTCGAACGATTTAAACAGTTAACTGGCTGATTCAGCGATTTACTGACCAAAATCAATGGTTTTGGGGAAAAAACAGTTTTAGGAAAAAACAAAACCAGTCAGATGACTGATTCCCGATTTTCCCGATCCGACCGTCTCCGATCTGGTTTTGAAAACCATGATATGAACTATAATACGAGCACAATTCATAAACCATTGGATATAGAACAATGACATCACGAAGAGGTCAGATGTCGTCACTGCAACAATTGATATCTTTCTTCTTGAAGAAGGTCCGGTGAAATCCCAAAAGAACATTTGGGATTTGTGAAAGAAAAAGCACATATTCTCACGTACTCCTAGAAACTAAGACACGGAATTATAAAATAGAAAAGGAAAAAGAAATTTAAAGTGATAATGTATCTAGCTTCATTCATATTCAGGTCTACCTCATCAGATTTTTGGTCAGGTCTACACAGTGGAAATGCAGCATCCCCTAAAAGAGAATAAGTCTCATCATTCTTACAGCCATTTACATCACTTATTTGACAACTATGAGCATAGACAAATTTTTATCCAAACTGCAATTATTAACCCTTTTTGGTAGTCCCAAGATCTCCAGGATTCATGAATCGACTTATTTTGATAATCAGATCTAAGGGTCATGATGCATGACTTGGGTGATGTTATCAAATGTGTGTTGTCTTAATTTTTTTTTTTTTTGCTGTGAGTTTAAACAATAAATCAAAATCAAATTATTTAAAAACAAATTGATTCTTAAACCAAAAACATCTTATTTATTGACTTTATGTGCCTTTTCTTTCCAAAACTGAAATGGCCGGAACATGTTCACTAATTAATTTCTTATTAAGAAAATAGTGATTTTTTTTTAAGTTAAACCAACTTATTTTTGCTTCTCATCAAACAAAAATGGGTTTTAATGTGTGTCAATTATTTTATTTTAATTTTTAATTGCTGATGTGACAATTTTAAAAATAAAGGGAAATTGTTTAAAACTCACCATGAGTTTTCAGCATTTCTCTTAAACTCACCACAACTTTTCAAAATGTCTAAAACTCACCATGTCACTAACTTGACGTTAAACAGACTAACGGGTGTTAATATATTACCATTTTAACACTTTCATAGAAAAATATAAAATATATACAAAAAAAATTAATGGGAGTTAATATTTACCATTTTAATATTTAGACATGAAAAAAGGAAAAAAATTCCAAAAAATATTTTCAAATATAAAATACATAAAAACATAGAAATTACAAAAAATATATATAATTTACAAACAAAATAAAAAAATATTTTCAAATTATAGAAACTATAGAAATTGAAAAACAAAATCAGAAAATAAAAATTGTAGAAAAAACACCAAAAATTATAGAAAAACACAGAAATTACAAATAAATAATAAAATATAGGAAAATTTATAGATTGTAGAAAATAGAAAAATGTAAATAAATTATAAAAAACACTGCAAAATATAACAAAACACTAAAATGCAAAAAAAAAAAAGAAAATTGAAAACTGAAAATGACCATTTTTCCTCTAACTCACCATTCAATGGTAATTTGGTCGTGAAAATTGTTATTTATGTTGACATGGACACCTCTTTTAAGAAGCATTAACGGTGCATTAACGAAAGGTGAATTTTGGAAAATAAAAACTTACTGGCCTGGTGAATTTTAGACATTTTGAAAAGTTGTGGTGAGTTTAAGAGAAATATTGAAAATTCATGATGAGTTTTAGACAATTTCCCAAATGAAAACAAAAATGTCCATCTTGTAGAAGACCCTTAGGCTGTGCTTTGGTTTGAAAGAAAAGGTAAGGAAAGGATGAAAAATATAGGAAAACCTAAACAAATCTTGAATATATTTCCCTATCTTTCCCTTCCTTTCTTTACCTTTTCTTTCAAACCAAACACACCTTTAATTTAATAAACATAGAATACTCACTACGATGGGTGACCTCCTAAGAAGTCCTCCTAACTTAGGTACTGTATGCTTAGTTCGTAACTCATCCAAATCATTAATTAAGGACTTTGAGACAAATTCTTAAGGGTTTTAGAGCGTTAAGGAGAGTCCAAAAAAATGCACTTTAACTTGTGAGGTATGAGTATACCATAACCTTGAATTCACTAAAAATCCAAACTTTACATATGTAGATAAATGATAATATCTATACACAATTAATTAATGAAAATTATACATAATTAACAACCATATATGAATTAAGCTTTAGCAATCACTCATCAACCTCTTGTTCTAATAATTGTGATTGTTCCTCTCCCTTGTGTGTGGATTCTGGTTAGTGCAACGACGGCCTTCCCGGAGAGACCGGTTCCGGACGGAGAAACGCACGGACGGCAAGCGAAGTCCCCCACGGGGTGCCGGACAGGCCTAGTCGGAGGCATGAGAATCCTCTGGTTTATGTCATTCAGCGTCACGTCCCCTTCAACTCCTCCAGGCTTTACCAGTGCAAATGGGTACGCCACGCCTGTTATTACTTTCCTCTTCCTTTGACAGCGGCCTTCTGATGAAGAAGAGCCAAAGCAACAAGTTGGAAAACCGATACAGAAGCGTAAAGTGAATGAAGCCAAGGAAAAGAGAGAGTACCAGAAGAAGATAAAGGGTATCTTGAGATCAGTAGGTTGTCTTTGTCATATGTGCATGAGCTTGGCTTCTGTGGGTTCTTGCAAGAGGAGCCTGAAGAACCGTGTGTTAACGTTTCTGGGGCTGACATTGTCTCTTCGGTTGTTTTTATCTCCGAGACTATTGTTTCTTCATCGCTGATGCTGCTCATTGCTGAAGAGTTTAACAGTTCATCTCCTGATCAACATACAAGTAACAACAATATATAATATAATCACCAGTGAAGAAATTAATTAAATCTGTTTTCATCAAGTACCATATTCGTGCGACGACTGTTTGATGAAATGGTGCTTGATTTTGAACCATTTCTGGGAATTCTCGATCCTCGAAGAAAATGAAATGACCATCTGGTCAGGGTTTGACACTGGTTGGAGATTGAAAGTTGAAACGCCATAATTATGGCGTCCAAGCTAGCCAAATCATCTAACGTGGGTCGCCATTAGTTCCTTTACAGCTTGTAGTTTCTAGATAGTAACAAATAGAAATGTCTATTTTGATGGAGGGATACTAGCTAGCTTACCTGAAACTCCATTGATTTCGGTGGTCTGCTGGCTCAAGCAGTTATAATTCTTAAGTGGGTTTTCGGTGCAATTCGAGTTGGAGTAGCTCTGCAAACAAAAGATCATCAGCTTCTACACAAACAGCTAACATACTAGAAAGACTAAAATTAACTCACTTTCAGACTAAAGCCTTACCTGTAGAAGATGATCGAAATCAAAACTTGTTTGATCATTGCTGGAAAACTGCAACCGTCTTCGCTTAAACCGGTCACTCCACTCGACCAATGCATCCTGTAGATACCCAGTCGATAAATCGGCCGGCGACGAGAGGAATGCTTCGGTGGACTCCATAACTGAAACAGACACAGACACAGACACAATGACAAAGTTGTACGTCAAATGCATGATGATTTGCGCCAGCCATGAAACACTATGTCCATATGAACAAGATTACAAGAAAGAAAAGAAGCGAGAGAAGAAAGGATACCCATAGACATGTCTGCGTTGAAAACTCCAATGTTGTGGATATCCCAAGCTAGGGAAGGGTAGGGATAACATAGATTGCTACTGTACGCCATGGTGTGAACTGATGAGGAAGGAAATGGAATGGTTGTAGTATTTAAAGTGAGAAAATTTTTAAAAAGTGAGGAGAAGGTGATGCAGTAGAAGGAATCAGTCAACGGCAGGAGGGAGCTAAAGTGAAGTTTATTGGGATTCTGAAACGTTTTCTTTTGGGTTCTATCATTTTTTTTTTCTTTGGTAGATGCTGTGGGGGACTAAATAATGGCGTGGTTGTGATGCATAAGAGCATGAACAGACTACAGGGGCTGACTGGGGGCAGGAGTACTGGAGGATGGACGTGCTAGACACATTTCAAATTTCGGCTTTTTCTTTTTGGCTTTTGCCGGGTCAGGTGGGCCCATTTCCTTTTTGGCTTTGCCGGGTCATGTGGGCCCACTTCCACCTGTTTGTTCACATTCAGCCCCATGGTGGGTCCGTTTCCACCTCAGGATCTTCAGTCTTAGCAATGGGTGGATTTCATTTGACTGGTGTAATCACACTTTTGCATGCTGGGTGGGAACATAGGTGGGCCCAATTGATAGATTTCTTGTCTGCTAAGGGACCCTGCACACATCTTTGATTGGGATTTGATTTGGGTATGAAATGGAGCAGGTCAGACCTGTGATGGAACACAAGTTTAGCTTGCAGCTGCAGAATGCATCCTTGAAGCAAAATCTACAGGGTTTGGAGTTCGGATATTGAATGAATTCATTTTGAAAAGTCAGACAAAGCAATGAGTCTTCTAGTTTCTAGTTTCTACAGAGAGAGGTATTGCAATTTCTTCCAGTCTCAAGGATGTTAGCAATGAGTGATGGTAGTCACTTGACTCTCTCTCTCTCTCCATAACACTTTAGAACTCGTCTCTATAAATGTTTAAAAAATTCTAACATCATAAACCCTAGTAGAGAGTCATTAAATAACCAAAATAAAAGAAATACAAAGGATTTATGAGATGGTAATCTGTTAGGTGAGACTTCAAGGATTCAAATACCAGATCCTCTGCTCATAGTATAGAGAAGGATCTCATCATAAATCTACAATGCATGCATCTCGTTGTAGTGCATATTTGAACAAAATACAAAATTTGCACTTAGTTGATAAGTTTCTTGTGCAGTTGTTTATTTGTAACTAGGGATGAGCATTGGTCAGTTCAATTCTATGGCATAACTTGGAACCTACCTTGTAGGGGTAAGTTCTAGGTTTTTAGAAGCGGAACCTACCTGTGAAGGTTGGTTCTGGCCTTGGTGATTATAGGGTCTACCCGTGGAACCTGTTATTTTTTTACTTACCCCCTTTAAAAATAAAGAAACATGTTCTTTAAAATGTTGATTTTTAATAAATATAATATATAGTTTAAAACTTGTATTATCTTTATTGATTAAATTGAGTGGCTTAATATGTAAATTATCATTTTATCATTTAAAACTTATAATTTAAATTTAAATTTTGTAAATATTACCTTTTACATTACTTGTTGTATACATTCAAATATTAAAATGAAAACAAATAATCAAAACACTTAAGTAACTCAATGGTCAAGTGAGACTATGGCCTTTGTAACCATGATTGCTTAAGTTCAAATCTTCACATCCCCAAAACTATTTTGGTTTATTTCAAGGCAAGTTTAGTTCCAAAGTAGGTTCCACCAAGGCTGATTCATCGGGTTAGTCTGGGTAGGGTAAATCCCTAGACCCTAAAACCAGCTTGAGTGGGGCTCAGTTCTAAGAATTTGGAACCAGACCCTACCCTATAACAAATTGGGTAGGGTTAGTTCAAGGCCAGTTCGAGGTCAATTTCATTCGGTTCTAGGTAGAACCTACCCATTTGCTCACCCCTATTTGTAACAATATATGATTTGCATTGCACTCCTACCCGGAAGCAGAATTTGTACTTTATCTCATTTGTACTCATCAGCAATGTAAATTTTGCACCACATTCTTCCTACCTCAATCTCTGTTTCTCATATAACGTGGGGACCACATCATCTTGACTTCTTACTTCACTCCCAAACAAATAACCCTCTTACCTCCATCGTGAGAATTGAAGGATCGTACCATTTTACTTCCTATTTTATTTTTTACAAACAAATAAGACAACCAAATCAACGAAAAAAAAAAAAGTAAACTAGAATTTAGACTCTATCCCCAAACGCAGCCTAACTATTTAAAACTTCCGTAACTTTGAACTGTGAATCGATGCATTGAGGTGCACTAACATTTTGTCTTATCACCAGAACTGTTCATCAACTTAAATAAAAAGATGATATCCTCTAATGACCACTAGACACAAAAAGTATCAGTTGGTCAAACGCTTAGGAATGATGAGACAGTGGGAGACATTTATAGTGACAGATGATGAATGAAATATGCTATTGGTTGCTTTTAGTGAGGATGCTCATGAGCATAATTTGCTATTCAAGAGTCAGAGACTGTGTACTTAGATATCCCTGACCCAACAATAGTGCCCTGAGATTATAAGCACCCAACACCAAGCTAAGCCTTTTTCTTCCACCATTTAGGATAAGAAATTATTGTTTGTTCAAATAAAAGCACAATTCTACTAGATCGATCATAATTGGACAATCTCAGCCACCCAAGGAGTAGGCGATTTGCTTATCACCTTTATACCACATATACTTGTTAAAACTTCCGACCAGTCAACTAGAATCATAAATGTGATAGCCAATTAAGTGTTATTTATCAAAATTCATGGGTGAGTTTTGATTAGTCAAAATTCTTTTCATAATATATCTTTCCCGCATCATAAATTTTTCCTTTATTAAAATACACATAGTTTTATAAATTTACTATAACCTATCTTATACTTTGCATTTTATTGAAACACCCCTTATAGTTTACAATTGTTTATTTAATCAACTTTTCATTAGACAAAAGTGAAAAATGACAACTTCAACCCTAATGTCTGTTTGAACAAATTGAAGGAAAAGAAAATAAAAATAGAAATGTTGTTCTTGCCCATAGTAAAACACAATGAACAATAATTGGTATATTTTGTTTTATGTTTGAAGAAGAAAGATGCATCATTACAAATAAACCAAGACACTATTGTTCTCTCTTTCATTCTACTAAAACCAAACATTGTTTCTTGGTTTAGATGATCATGCCACTATTTTCAGACAACGATACAAATGGTTCTTAACAAAAAGTGATTAAGTAAATGGATCGCAAACTATGAAATAATTTTAATAGATTAATTATCAGCCAAATGATAGGGGTGTTTCAGTAAATGATCCTTCAAAATAAATTTTATTAAAATAGAGAAAAGGTGATTCTTTTAGACATATGGTGTGGAATGTTGCACTAAAGCATACTGCATTAAAACTAGTGATATACAGCATACTTGTGGAACTCATTATTTAAGAAAAAAAAAAAGAAGAAACAAAAAGAATAGTGGAGCCCATAAAAAATGCTAAAAAGTCGGGCTGTTCAACAAGTAAAGTTGGTGAATGTAATTCCCACCGGCTTGGATCGAATGTTCCGTGTGCATTTGAGTTGGTTGTGGCAGCTACCGCCCTCTTTGGTCTACTTCTTTAAATTAAATTTTGAAACTTCAGATTGCCCTGGTGTGTTCGAAAGTTTCCATGGATGAGAAGGTCCGAGCTTGCTAGGGCTAAGAAAGTGAATACATGGTTAAAGCAAAGAGTCTACTGTTTGTTTGATGAGTTGTATTGATTGACCGCATGCATCATCCCTTAGAAGAGGGGGCAGATGGGGAACAAAGGAAAGATCCATTGGTATAAATTACTTTTCATTACTATTTTGATATGGAAAATGTAGCTTAAATGGCTAAATAGGTCAGTTAAGCCATGTTTGGTTTGATAAAAAAAAAAAAAAATAGAGAAAGAAAGTTGGAAATTTCTTAATGATTTTTGTAAAATTCCTTAAAAACTTTATCTCATTTTCTGTCTCTCTACTTTTCTGTTAAATCAAACACAGGTTTAGAGTTCTTTTCTGAGTTCATCCAGTTAACTCGTTTTTTTTTTTTCTTTTGCATAGGAATTGAATAGATATATTGGTTAGTAGGATTATATTGATCCAGGCCTCCAATTTCTTTCTTGCTTTCCTTTTTATATTGTTTGTTTTTCTTTAATGAAAATTTGAGTAGCTTATTGGCTACTAGTTAGTAGTGTTTAAAGCAAGACTCAAATAGAAGACTAGAATCAACTAGAGGTGTAATGTGGGCCCGACACGATTGTGGGTCGTTCAGACTGTAGAGGTTGTGCCATGCCAACAAGCGAGCCTGGGTGGGCCGTGCCTACTGGCCTGGAATCCCTCAAAGGGGAGGTTTGGCATAACCCACAAAACGAGCCTAGATGGGCCTATGCCGGGTCGGACTGGGCCACAAGCCTGGGCTGTGGAGCTGATCTTTTTTGAGTCTTTTCTAATATTTTCCACTTTTTCTTTTGCTAAGTAAAAATGACAAGTATTTTGGATAAAATAAAAAAAATTAACAAAAAAGAAAATAGACATACAATTAATCATTTATGAAGAAATAAAATTAAATTGAAAAAATTACAATTTAATTGGAATAAAGTAATTTAATAAAATTGAAAAAAAAATTACAGTGTGATTGAAAAAAATGGAATAAAAGAATTTTACTCTCCAAGCTATACATACCCATAACCAAATAAGCAATGATGGTTATGTATTTTAACCAGTATAAGATCCACTTAAGAAATGTGCCACTACCTTAAGTCTGAAAAGAATGAGAAAAAAAAAAAAAAAAGAATAGCCTCTCGAACCACTTAAGGATAAATTGATGATAAAATGGCTGTCCAACCACCACAATCCCAGCATGAACATCTTCTTTAAACACTAACCATTTGCAAGAAACATGTGATGTTGATTCTTGCAATGAATCCCTACCCATTTTTTCTTTTAATTCTTTTCATTGCACAAAAAGGGTCACTTTGTATTTCAGTATTTTTGTTATTTTTCCATCCCAACTCCTTGCAAGTTGCAACTAATGACCTAGACTGCCTAGTAGAAATATACGTACCATAGATCACACCCCTAAATTGAGAACCAATAGGAGAGAATATTCTAGGTGACAATATAAGTAGGCTAGGCTTTTAGGCAATAATCTAGGTGATAAAAGAATCGGTTGAACCATTTAGATGGTTCTAGGGAGAAGGGATGCATTTAATTTACTCATATAAAAATAGAAACTTATAGTTTCTTCTTCTTTCTTTTTAAATATGGAGATTTGAATTAACAACAAAGAGAAACAGGGACACTCTTGGGCAACAAAAATCTCAGCCATCCATGTATTCACTGATTCACTTTCCTTTGTGATTTTGTTGGGGTAAATACATGATAGGAAGACCTTCAATTAAAAACCTAAAATGATAAGATAGAGATATTACCACTTCAAAATATTGAGTCTTGTGAATAAGTAAACTACAAATTTGTGGTCAAATCATAGACAAAAATGTTTGAGTTGGTCATATTCGATAGAACTAAGTAAAAAAAATGTCAAAATACAAAGAATTCAAAGGAAAAGAAGTTGTTGACATCATATAAGGAGCTTAGATCATTGAAGCCTTGAGTTGAACCAATGACATAAGAATGTCAGCAAACCATTTATTGAACAATTCTGGTTTTTGAAACTTAGAAAGTTTTTGAACCAGAATTTCTATAATATTAGCTTGATACATGCGGTGCACAGGATTTGTTAAGCGAAAGCAAAATAATAGAAATTGTTTTATATTTTTAACTTTTAAATAATTAATAACTATTATATTTTAGGTTCAACTATCATATGGGAAAGATATGATATCTGACAAATTATTTTACCAATCAACTGGTATTGAAAACATGGTAGCCAATCAGGTGTAATGTATCAAAATTCATGGGTGGATTCTGATTGGCCAAAACTCTTCCAATACCATATCTTTCCCGCATCACAGATTTTCCCTTATATTTTGTATACTACTTTTAATAATTTTTTTTACAATACAAAAATAACAATAATTAATTTCAGCTAGGGTTGTTCATCAAATTGATGAAACCGACCAAATTGACCAACAATTTCCCAACCTGACCAGGCTGGATCAGTTCCACTTGGGCCATTTGTACATCGACCAAATTGAGCAACTCGACCATACTTATATTTTAATATAAGTTTTTAATACAGAAAAGTGGAAAAATCCCCATATTTCTTTGTATAAAATATTTTATATCATAAATTTATTTTTTAATAATGTCATTCTAATTTTTTAATTTTAAATTTAATTTTTTAAGCTTAAATCTTTTAAACAGACTTACCAAACCGAAAATTGATCCAAACTGATACAACCCAAGTTGGCCGATTCACTAATAGTCAGTCAATTTCAAGTGACAAACTCCCTAACCTGATCAAGTCGATTTATTTAGCCAAACAACCTACAACTAAACCGAACCAATCTGTGAACACTCCTATTTTTTTCTAACTTAATAGTCTAATCACTAATGAATAACAATAATTTAATCTCCAATAATTATTGAAAATTTATAGCAAAAATACACGATTATTGAAAATATTTTGATGATAAAAATACAATAAATAATAATAATAATAATAATAATAATAATAATAATAATAATAATAATAATAAAAACAATAAATACAACTATTACACAAATACTAAACACTAAAAAATATATTAAATTAGTTAATAAATAGTGTAATGTCAAATGATAGTTTAAATCTAATAAATATTAATCAATAAATTATAACAAAAATATAATAAATACAATAAGTACAATAAATTAAACTTAAAAAGTTAAATAATAGTAGTTTAATCTCCAATAATAATTGAAAATATATTTATCACAAAAAACAATAGATGATTATTTAAAATACAATAAATATTAATTTTAGTATATATAATATATAATAAATATAGATTAAGATTTTAATATAATTATTAATTGATATAAGTGAAATTAATTATATACAATACTATTATAGTTATTCAAATAATATCATTATTTAAATTTTAAAATATTAATTATTTGTTGAAATTAATAATCCATAAAATTATAGTTTATACTATTATTACATAATTCCATTATTAATTTTATAAAATATTAAATTATTATTAAATTGAAGATTATGTTGTAAACTTGTAATTATTTTTATAGTCTTAAGAAATTTTTTAAATTTATTACGTAATATTAAATATTTTGTTATATAATTATTTAGCTATTTTAATATTTTTATTTAAAACATTTAATTATTGAAATATTTAAATAACATTTTATTTTTTATTGTTTGAATTACATTTGTATTGAATAATCCAGAAAACCATAATTTATATTGTTAAATATAAAATTATTTATAATATGAATATTATTAAATTTATTATAATTTTTTTGTTTTTAATAAATATTTTAAAATTATTATATAATTTTGTTAGAATATTTAAATTTTTTAATTCAATTTTTCTCTAGTTAGTTATAGACAAAATGTGGGGGAGAGGATAAATAGGAATTAGAGATAATTTAGGAGAGAAAATCTATACTAAATTAGAGATAATTTAAGAAATAAATAGGAATTAGAGATAATTTAGGATAGAGTGGGGAATACTGGGGGAGATAGTTTATGAGAAATTTTGGGAGAGGATATAATTTAGGTTATTAGGAAGGTGTGGGTAAGAGATATTTTAGATAATCTTTTATGGGCAAGGAGAGCATCTCATTGATTGTTTAAAAAATGACAAAATAAAAAAATAAAAATTTCAAAAAATGAGAAAATTTCTTCACTGCTGTGTTTTAATATATATATATATATATATATATATATATAGATAGATAGATAGATAGATAGATAGATAGATAGATAAGGAACTGTAAATTTTCGTCAAAAACTCAATTGGAAAAACAAAATCAAATGAAACCCTGGAATTATGAATTGCACATTTCCAACTAAACATATAAGCTTGGATGCATTTATCGATTTGTCCATAGAAATAGACAAATTTATAAAATTACCTTGTCGTATTCTTGCCAGGGAAATATCTCTAGTAGGAGTTCCCACCATTTATTTAGGCCTTGAATATAGTAGAGATGACTATATGAAGATTAAACTAAACAGGAAATATTCACATTTATGAAAAAATATGTTTAGAAGTTATTGTTTATTACATTTTCTTCTCTTGTGATCAATTATTGACTTTTGAGTAACTGAAACCGCAAATTTTTTAAGCCTGGTTCGGGCCTCCATACAATGATGTGTTCTCTTGCTTCAAATCTCTATGACAGATTTCTTGCATAGGAGTAAAAAATAGATTAGATTCACTCAGAGAAAGGGTGACAGCTATTCATTAAAAATGGGGTTTTCTAAACAATTATTGACTTAACCATGATAGTAATTGACACCTGAGATACGTTGCTAGTAGAAATATTTCACCAGGAAATTTCAAAAAGAAATAAGAAAAAAAAAAGGAAAAATATCAAAGGAGAGAGAAAGAGACCCTCTCTTCAATTTTGCATATATGTTTGAAAAATTCACTACCGGTGGCATACTGACAATATCAAGAAGGGCAGAAGTTAAAATGACATGCAAATAAAAACCTCATAAATCTTAAGAAAAAGCTGCCTCTTGAATCGGGTTATGTTCAGGTGTCAAGCGCAATCTGTAATCGATAACCACTCTGGCCAAATTCTCACTGATCTACATCAAAACCACAAGAATTGAAGTAGAACCCAACCTATAAATAATTGAATCCCATCTCTATTGGAACCAAAATACAAAACTTAAAAGCAACAAATAATTACCTAGAAGAGGAAAGAAAAAAGAAGGGAAAAAAGCAAGGCCAGAGGAGGAAGCGAGGACCTTAAAAGGCTCATTGCTTGTTCTGAAACTGATGCCTGAAACATACTTAAATCAAACAATAAATCCTATGAGAAAGAGAGAGGGAGAGAGAGAGAAGAGCAAACACTCATCTATGATAAAAAAAAAAATGTTACCAAAGAAGGAAAAGAGGGGATGTGTAAGTACCCACAGTTCCATTCTCCATATATAAGGCCGAATTTGGAGATGAACATGTAACTCTGCCGTCTTCACTGTCTTTATGGAACCAAACCAGATTGTAATGAAACCCTAACATAAACCCGAAGGAATAAAAATACAACAAGAACACACAATAGAAAGTAAGAACATTCCAGAAAACATGTCTATATAGCATCCTACCCTTCGTCATTAAACCCTAATAAAAGGGGAAAAAATTAAAGGATGGAAAAATAAGAGAATGAGAAGAATAAGAGAAGAACGAAGAAAACCCCTGTATTTGGTCAGAGAAAAAAGGACAAATGCAAACTCTCCATCGTTAAACCCTAACAAAGAAGGGAAAAAAACATACCCACAAAACCCCTCCAAAATTAGTTTTAGGATTGCTAAAATCACTTCAGCAACAGAGAACCCTTCATAGCAATCTAGACAGAGAACTCTCAATTGAGGGAGAGATACAACGAAATGAGAGAGAGATGGAAATGGAAAGACGAGGGGGAGAGAGAGAGAGAGAGATTCACATGGATGGATTAATTGCACATGGGGGAATCAGTCTACTCGCACCAGTAGTTCCATTTTGCACCCAGTGAAAGCAGGCCCTTTGCTTTAATATATATACTAGTAGAGGGAGGCCATGCTAAGCACAGGCAAGAAGACTGTCAATTGGTAGATTATATATGTATAGCTAATCAAATTGTCAAACATTTTTATAAAAAATATAAAAATGTGCATTTTTTACAAAATTCATATATTTTTTTCAAAAAAAAGATATCAAATTGAATGAAAGAGAAAAGATGATGGTGTTGGTTTACATATACACCCTGTAAAAGTGTAAAAGCAGATAGATGGTGGCATGCAGGATGAGATGCTCCAACAATCTGTTAGATAGCTCAAAGAGATCACATTCTAATTCTCCAAAATGGGTTAAATTACCATAGAGTAGGGGGCCTGTACTAAGCATGGGCGGAGAAAGCCTAAAAGATGAAAGGTAGGATGGGGCCAGTTTATAAAATATAGAAAAAAATTGAGACGTTAATACTTGGATGTAATCTAATCTTTTGAATGAGGTTGATTTGAACTTGGGGGTTAACTAAATTCAATTAATCTAATTTATCTAAGGTGTCATTAATTTATTTTACAGTTAATTTATATTTTAAAATTAAGATAGGCTTAGTTAGTTAATTAGTTATAATCTGGATATAGAAAAAAAAAGTTATAAGGTAGATATAGGATAAGATACGCATATTTAAATCCAAAGTTTACAGGCAATCAACTGGTATACAGCAACAAAACTCATCTCTAGGATTTACTCTCACGAGATTGTCATGCTTGACATGACTAGATTCCACCATTTCAAACACGGGAACTGTTCTTGTGGGGATTATTGGTGAAGAGGATGAAGATTCATTGTTTCCAGTAGCACAAAATATTTATGGTGGATTCTTTCACATAATATCAACAAAACTTACATTATTAGAGAATCTTGGAAACTCGTCTCTTTCTGGAGACTCAAGTTACAGTAACAGTTATTAAGAAACTAAAAGCTTGTTGAAAAAGGAACCAATAAAAAGAAACAAGGGCTAGTTCTGAGAACCTTTTAAGTTTCAAGAAAGCTTCAATTCATCCAATCTAAGATGCGGTTCTGCTACCCATGACTGCTCAGGCTCCAGCTAAACTTTTCCAATTTGAGGTTGTTATAGAGAAGGGAGAGCATTCAATAAACTTACTTGATCATTGCATTAAACACTTTTCACCTTAGGCTGTGTTTGGTTGCAGTGCAATTTTATTTGCACTAGTACAAATGCATGGGAATGCAAATGAAAAGAATACAAATTCTGGTTTAATTTTATTTTGGGTTTTACTTTATTCTGCTTCAGGTCTTGTTTTACTTCATTTGTGCTGCAATCAAACAGAATAAGGTAAAATTTTAAACAAAAATAAAACAGATTTTGCACCCAAATCATTTGCACTACCGTGGTTTTGCATTCATGCAACTAAATTTGCACTACAACCAAATGCAGCCTTAGGCTCAGTTTGGGAAGAGTGCAAATACAAATATGTTTAGTGCAATATATATATATATATATATGTGTGTGTGTGTGTGTGTGTGTGTGTGTGTGGAGAGAGAGAGAGAGAGAGGAGAAGTAAATACTGTGGAAAAAGCATAATCATCTAACCAGGTATCCATGAAGGACATCATTACTTCATTACCTTTGCATTTTCAACGCAGGCAAAATCCTGGTAGCAGTTTCCATCCGTAAATAAGGGTTCCACAAGACACAATCTGTCCAACTGCATGGGAAAAGGAATTACAAAGAGAAAAACTTGAAGCAGAATTCTTTTATCAAGGAAATTCCAGATAAAAGCAAGTCATTTAAAGAAAACAATACTAATTTTTATAAAAAGAAGATAAAAGTGAAAAAACCACAAGCAAGGTTCAGTTGAAGTACTTGGTATTCTTGATGGATATTAGATCACCCAAACACATTGTCAAGTTGCAACACAGTGGGAGCATTCAAGTAAATACAGTCCACAAATCCTAGAAAATGACCACATCCCTGAATTTCACAATTCTGGTTAGAATCTATGAAACAGTTTTCCATATTTCAGAAGATAATTGATGAATTTTGAAATCTTAACAGTATAAAATACCTGTGAAAGATAACCTTTTAGTAAAAAAAAATTAAGTTGCAAAAATTATTAGTTGCTTAGTGGTGTAGTTTGCAAGAGTTTGATATCATGGGCCTAAGAATTGATGGTTCTTGATGTACTAAACCACTAACCATTAACCTGCTTGTATGAAAACCACCCACTGTTCCCACTCAACCCCCTCCAAAGAAAATTTGCTTAAATAACCATCTTCCCTATCTTTATCTTCAAGTTGATTTTACTTGGTCCTTAGGACTTTCAGAGATGTCCAGAGTCCAGACATGATAGTATCAATTTACCAATCAAACTTTAAAAATTAGTAAATTCAAAATTCATTGAAGAACATCTAGATTTTCTTCATCATTCTTAATTTTGACATCTAAAGCACCCAATTAAAAGAAGTGATCAGTTACAGGTTGAAGGGTCTAAAGGAGCAAGGGGCAGGCCAAAAAGGAAAGGGATTGCATTGAAGTAGTGAGAAATGATATAAGGGTCCATAATTTAACAAAGGATATAGCACTGAATTGAGTGGAATAGTGGAACCAGATTCATGTAGACAGTTCTATATGGTTGGGACAAGGCTTAGTTTGAGTTTTCATTCACTGCCTTGTCAAATAAGAGAAAGAAATGAAGAAAGATTTCCATATTTTAGATTTTATTCCATTTCCTACCTTGCTAAATGTGTACAGATGCGTAAGAGGATATGCATTTGAAATACCACATAGCAAAAGCAAATAAAATATCAGTAAAAAGCAAAAACAAGAAAATCAAAAAAGATGAACCAATTCCAACTGTCCCTATTTTTGAATAACATTTTCAACAAGTATATCCAGCATGTCAACCTTTTTTGTTAATAAAAAAGAAAGAAGTTAAGAAGGGGATCTTGTTAGGACAATGTTGAGGCCAATTCACCAAGACAGATGGGAAAGAAAATACAGAGCTGTCCTCCTTACCCTCCACATTAGTCGGGTCTGTGTCCTTTTTCAGTCATGCAACCTTTCAGTCCTTCCACTGATGCTTCTGTTATAGAAGCCTGCACACTCAGCAAATTTCACACCAATAACCAAAAAAATGAAATCAAATTCTACCACTGGCCCTCCCCTGCTTCCAAATCTGAAAATTTCTAGATTTATAGTGGCTTTTCCAGTTCCATATTGTAAAATCTCATACAGATTTGGGAATTTTGTTCCAGCTGCAACCTAAATACAGCCTAACCAGATTTTCTTTAAAATGCCTCACAAACTAAAGGTTCATGGTGCATAGCAGATCCAAAGTTGTTTTCTAAATGTGTGAGTATATTCATGTCTCACGGAGAGAGAGAGAGAGAGAGTGAGAGAGAGAGAGAGTGAACATTTCCAGATAAAGGATTAAAATTTACACTGTCTTCAACAGAACTGAAAGCCTCCCTTGGTAAACTTCATTGTGAGGATTGCAGCAACTACAACTGGTTCAATCCCACTAATCCTATGCTATGGCAGTCAACAAGTTCCAAAAGATTTGAAACCATAAAAATAAGAGGTTCTAAAAATTAGTAGAAGATGAAAATAAAATAAAGTTTCAGTCTAGCCAACCCTGCCACATTTCCGAATTCTTATAGAAACAAGGGTAATACCTCAACTCAGTTGTTGTACAAGAACCTTTTGATATAATAGATACAGTTCCATACCAGATATATGATGGCAAGATCAATCAAACTAACCATTGGCAATCACAGCAATAAAAACAATGAAGTTAGCATCCCATAACATCTTACATGATTTTATTAATGAAAGGGTTGATGTTGAAAAAATAGAGTGTGGCTATTCAACTTAGAGGAAATACTATAGTTGTGTGCAAGTTTTCCATTTTCATTCCTCTCATACCATAGAAGCATTTACAGCAAAAAAAGAAAAAAGAACTTCCCATTTTGGTTTGCTTAGTGGTTCTATGGATGAATCAATGGATAGGAAACCCTGAAGAAAGCCAAGAGATCTATAACCTACTTATTGTCTAGAAAAAGCATATTGAATGTAAGGAAAATAGATAAAATGATCAAGAAATTTCAGACATAAAAACTTGAAAAATAAAAGGAACTAATAAAAGATACCAAAATGCCCAACATACCCCAATTTTAAAGAAAACCAGAATCTGAAGCTTGAAGTAAATGAAAAAAAAAAAAAAAAAAGCTTGAAACCACCCACCATGATATAAGGTAGAAACCATGTGAGTGGATCTATAAATAAATCATGATAATATTAAAAAAATTGAGTTTAAAACTTCAAAAGGCATAAAAAGCTGAGTATGTACAACCAACAAATTAACAAATTTAATTATAAATATTATTAGTTTAAAAGAGGGGAAACAACAAAAGAATCTTATCAACAAATCGCGATCTCAAAACTGGAATTAAAGCCATAAACATAAACTAAAAGGAAGAAGCAACAATAACCATGACAGAATACCTTAAACCCTAAAAGAAATAGAACAGGAAATCTGAGTATATACAACTAACAAAATAAGAAGCAACAATAATCATGATAGAATACCTCAAACCCTGAAAAAAATAGAACAGGAAATCTGAGTATATACAACTAACAAACTAATCTAGTTAGAATTGTTAATATTTTTAACCAAATAATCAGGATAGCATAACTTCAATAATTATTAAAAATTGAGAATGTAGAACTAACAAACTAATTTAGTTAGCATATCAAAAGATCAGGATTCAGAAAACTGGAATTCAAGCAACAGAGATAAGCTAAAAGGCAGAAGCAACAATAAAGTGAAAAACAAATTACATGGATGCACTTAGAAGGCAAACTTTGTTAGTATAGCAAAACATCAGGATTCACAAAACTGGAATTCAACCAACAGAGGTAAACTAAAAGGAAGGAGCAACAATAAAGTAAAAACAAAATACATGGATGCATCTAGAGAGCAAGCAACAGGACTGGAATCGCGTAACTTAAACCCTAATAAAAGAAAAACAAAAAAGGAAAAAGAATTACAAAACTTATCATAGGGATGTAACAAGTTTGCATTAAGTTCACTTGTGATTTTAGACAAGCAAACAAAAAATCCAAATGTAAAAGAGAAATCCTTAAGCCAAATCAAAAAGGGGGAAATAAATGAAAAGAAGAAAAAAGAACAAACCACAAAAAATCTGAGAGAGAGAGAGAGAGATGGGGAACTGGCAAATTTGGAACTTCAGCTGCAACAATGCAGATAGGAAATAGGTCTATGGAATCCTAGGCAAATTGAACCAACAAAGTTTTAAAGAACAACCCGGTGTTTTAGAAGTGCAAGGCACAGGGGTCAATTTGTGACTGAGGCGTGTGCCTTTTTGAAGTAAGGCGCAAAAATTAAAAAAAAAATGCTAAAAATAAAAAAAAAGTCAGAAAAAATTTAAAAAATGCCAAAAAAATAAAAATTGCAAAAAAATTTAAAACTTTAAATTTTAAAATAAATGTTTTAAAAAACCTATTATCTAAAATTAAAATACATAAACATAACATGTAAAGCATATTCAAATGTGAAATTAAAAATAAAATCAAACATATAAAACATTTTCTAGCATGTAAAACTCACAATCTCTTTTTTTCCTCAATTGCATTACTTAAAGTAGCTAATGTGATGTAAAACATATTACATTCCTGATTCTACGAGCCACCTTTGTGCCACGGCCCTCGAGGCAAGCCCAAACAAGTCCATGTTAGGGTCCTAAATTCTTAGTTCTCACACAAAAAATAATGATTTTATAATTTTAATTGCTTTTTAAGAAGATATTTTAGTAGGATGAGTGAATGAACAACATTACCAAATAATTTTATAATTTTAATTCGCTCGCTCACCGAAGCTCTGTGAACCCCCTATTTGGTAATGTTGTTCATTCATTCATCCTACTAAAAGATCTTAAAAAGCAACTAAAATTATAAAATCATTATTTTTTTGTGTGAGAACTAAGAATTTAGGACCTTAACATGGACTTGTTTGGGCTTGCCTCGAGGGTTGTGGCATGGGGGTCTGAGGGCAGAGCCCCCGGCCTAGTCGCTAGGTTCAAAAAAAGCAAAAAAGTGTCAAACTTTCAAAAGGCGCCTGGACTGAGAAGCAAGGTGCATCAAGCTCATGCCCAAGCGCACCAAGTATGCACCTTTTGAAAGGGTTGCGCCTAGGACCTGAGCAAGGCACCTACCTTAAAATGCGCCTCGTCTGTGTGCCTAGGCGCACCTCAAGCACACCTTTTTAAATCACTGGAACAACCCAAACACAAAAGAACATGAACATAGCATAAAAATAACAAACAATAGGAACAAGAAAAATAGCATAAAAAATAGCTATACCACCATTGGCGATCATTTCCTTCTCACCCACTGTTAGTGTGAAAATTTTAATAAATTCTCATGCAACATAATTCACTCAATCAAGTGATTGAGTTTTTACAATTCAGGGAATCATATGGATCGTTCCCCTTGATTACATCTCCACAAGAAAGTAGAGAACACCTTTTGATTCTAACTTGGAAAAATGAATGCATAAAACAAAAGAAAAGAACAATAGTGTACACTTCTAAAAAAAAGAACTTTTCATTTGCATTTCTTTTACATCAAATGCACAAGAATGAGAAGAAAAAAGAAAATACAATTGAGAAACTCTACAACAATACATTTATCTCTTTCTTTTCTTTTTGATACAAAGAAGTTGTAGTTATGCAACCCACTTATTTGGGTTATAAATTATTTAAATATTATTTGGATTAAAAAAAATCCTTCAACACCCACCCAACCACAACCAACTGAACTCTTCCAATCTCACCAAGACCAAAAGAGGAAAACCCTAGAATAACATAACTCAAGAAGGGAGAGTGAAACCTTACCAGGTCTATGCACCCCTAAGCCCTAACCAGAGACCTTCCCTTCGGTTGAGAGTGGAC